AGACGCTCAGATTCTGGCGGTAAATTATCTTACAGAGTTAGGAATCCAAGATTTATAACTATGTATCTTTTGTCCGATAAATAAATTTTTTGAACAATGGAAAAAAAAATTGTTGTTAAGCCAAAGGAGTATATGATTTTACTGAGTACTATAATTGTAACAATTTCTGTTTGTAGAGTTTGACTACGTTGGAGATGGGGAAGCCGTATAGTGTCGCATACGATGAAACATTCTGGGCCGCCGGTGTTCTCCGTTATTATGCCGGATTCGCTGACAAAATCGGCGGCAAAACTATTCCTATGGGTAAAGTTACCTGCATATAACTATCATTCAAACATGTAGAGTGAATTCTTCCTTATCACAGTACTGGGTAGACTTTTGTGTCGAATAGACAGATGAAAATAGTCAAATGGATTACACAAGTGTCAGATAAAACAGTTTGGCCTGTATAAGGATTTTCTAATAAAAGCTATCTTGGAATAACAAGTATTAATTAACTTTTTCTTGCTGTATTGTTACAGATGGTGATTATTTTTGCTTCACTCGACATGAACCAGTTGGAGTTTGTGGGCAGATCATTCCGGTAAGTAAATTACCCATGGGCTTAACGTTTAGTTTTTTGGACGAACTGTACGTGTGAAGGAAAAATATTCTTTCAAAAGCCGACAAGAATAGCCAAAATTATTTTGTGTAAACAAATTCCCGATTTTGTAGTCTCCATATAGGTTTATCCAATTGACATTTTACATTTTGTGCAATATATAAAAATGTGTAGACATATTTGAATTTTCGAAACATGTGTACTTTCAAATACTCATTACTGTAGTGAAACAAAAATATAAAATAAATGCATACTAGTGTGTCAGAATCTTCGCCCCACCCCATATCAAGATATGGCCAATAGTAGCTACATGTAAATGTATACAGGTATAGCCCTCTGGCCTTCAGTCGGAGGGTTGATAACAAGTACGATGCAGATTTGCATTCCTAAGTTACGCTACCAAGGTACAAAACAGCAACGAGTACATGGTACAACCTGATGAGATTTTTGTCTATATCTTGTTTTTAAGTGGAATTACCCGACACCTATGTTCGTATGGAAATTGGGTCCTGTTTTGGCATGTGGTTGTACAACGGTTATTAAACCCGCGGAACAAACTCCCCTAACTGCATTACATGCTGGAGCATTGTGTAAAGAGGCGGGAATACCTGCCGGCGTGGTCAACGTCGTCCCCGGCTACGGTCCCACGGCAGGAGCGGCTCTGACGTCACATCCGGATGTGGACAAAGTCGCCTTTACTGGATCCACTGAGGTCTTTTTTTTTCCAAATATTCATACAAAACTTATATCGGAATTTTATTAATTGGGCTGTCATTCTCATTTTCCGAGCATTTTATTGTCGGATAATATTACATGTACTTTTTTAATACAGGTTGGCAAACTTATTCTTCAAGCTTCTGGTGGCGTTAACATCAAACGCACAACTCTGGAGCTTGGTGGCAAAAGTCCGAATGTTATCATGGATGATGCAGATCGTGAGTTTAAAGTTTTAATAAATAATTCAATGACGAAAAGTAATTATTAAAATTTATACACTTCCTCTCTTTTTTTTTCTTCTGAAAATACGTACAAAATGTGGAAATCATTGCACTACTCAGTATACTTTGCCATGAATACTTGTAGTTGAAGAAGCTGTGAAATTTGCTCATAATGGCGTTATGGTCAATTCTGGCCAGTGTTGCATTGCTGGAAGTAGAACATTCGTGCATGAAAAGATTTACGACGAGTTTGTTGCCAAAAGTCGTGAAATGGCAGATAAACGACTGATAGCTACCGGTGATCCGTTTGATCCTAACACGGCACAAGGTCCCCAGGTAGGTGAAAAATGTTCGAGAGCTATTAGTCCTTCATTAAGCCTGATTGACTGGGTATATTGAAATCCAAGATATGACAGAATCCGAGTAAATATTTTTGCCTTTAATCCAAAGAGCATTTTAAAAATATTAAACCTAATCAAAAACAACCCGCTAACGAAGCTTTAAATTCAGGTGGATGAGGAACAATACACTAAAATTTTGGATCTCATCGAGTCTGGAAAGAAAGAGGGCGCTAAAGTCGAGAGTGGTGGCGCTGCAGTCGGGGGCGATGGTTATTTCATCAAGCCAACTGTGTTCTCTGGAGTCACAGACAACATGAGAATTGCCAAGGAAGAGGTATAGAGAAACCTGTTAACTTTTAAGTGTATCATTTATTTCATATTGATAAACTTTGTCGAATGTTATTTTTTTTCCGCCGGAGCCAGAATGTTCATGCCATGTAATTTTTAAGTTAAAAGTAAAGATTTATTTTCCTTTGACAGATATTTGGTCCTGTACAGCAAATTTTCAAGTTTAAAACTTTGGACGAAGCTATAGAGCGTGCCAATGCTACTGAATACGGACTGGGCGCCGCCATCTTTACTAAGAGCATTGATAACGCCATGATGTTTACGCAAGGAGTTCGAGCAGGAACAGTGTGGTAGGCAGAGGGGATTTTTAAACAACTTCGGCGGATTGAAATTTTAAAAATTATTTTACAACTGAATATTAAGTTTTTTAAAAAACATTTGAGGAGTCTTTTCTTGTTTTTCAAAGTTCACTAAAATAAACTAGTTTGATGCTTTAGCTGCTAACTTAAACAATAAAATGCTTTCTTTGTTTGTTATTACTGGAATTAACGGAAGCAGCGTACGCGGGTTATGTAATTTTTTTCTGCAGTAGCTGCGACCGTTAATTCCAGTAATAACAAACAAAGAAAGACATTTTATTGTTTATATTTATATCTTTTTAAATAATCATTCAAAGTAGGATTAAAAAGATTAATTATTGTATTAATGATGAAGGTCTTTATACGTTTCATTGATGGAACAGCCACTGATCAAGAAATCTGTACAGGCGACATGCCTAATGTAGTTCATGCAGTGGTTAACGGAATGGGTTTTCTTAAGAAATAAAGGAGAAAATATTCAGTGGATGTAAATATTCTCTGATATTTGTGTGTCGTTTTAGGGTGAATCTTTATGATGTCGTAAACCCACAGGCACCATTTGGAGGATTTAAAATGTCAGGAATTGGAAGGGAACTGTGAGTTTATTTGCTTACTTAATTAAAAATGCCCAATTTTATATTTACAAGTGTGACAGAAACATGTGTGATAACTAGACCAAGAATTACCAAAGTAATCTTTCTATATTTAGTCGTGTCATTTCGATTACAGAATATGTCCATAAGTGATTAGTTTTAAGAATTACCTCTCATATCGGTCATCAGTTCGTGATTTATTATGTCACAAGTGAGATGTTTAAAATATCTTGTTATTTATTTTCTAGGGTATTTTGAGAATGTATATTATGTGGTTTTCAATTTTATTATACAAACATTTTCGTCATCCTTTTTAACAGTGGTGAATATGGCCTATCGGCATACCAAGAGGTGAAATCGGTAAGACGGAGCATTGCTCTTTTGATCTAAAAAATTATCAAGCTTTAATAAAATACATGGCATTGGTTAAAACAAGATATGTCTGTTTATTTTAGGTCATAATGAAAATTCCTCAAAAGAACTCGTAAACTTTGGGATCACGCCAGCGATTGATGCAGCTTCCTTTTCATGCAAGTGATTGCGCATGAGTGAAAAGTATAGGGATGAAAACGTTTTTGTTCCGTGTGTTTTAGCAAGGCATTTGTATACAGTAACCTTACAGCTTTCTTTAATTGCTTAACAGTATTAAACCTTATCTTACGACATATTTAGATTTGAAAACATGTTAAAGACTTGGAACGTTTTTTTTTTTTTCAGATTGAAAATGTATTAATTTGCAAAAAATTATTGCCGTTTTCATTTTATGTTACATGTATTATTTCTCTACGAAATAAATGCATTAATATGTGATATCCATTGGTGATTTTGAACAATTGATAGCCTTTTACAAATAAATATGGCGTACAGTGTGTAATACAAGTGTTATTTATATGTAGACAGTGCAGTATTACTTTACAAAGTCTGCAGATAAGGATTATCTTGTGCAATTTTTATACAGATAATCATGTATTGAACTCTTGACAAGGTGCATGTAGCTGGCACAGGAGAAATATTTTGATGTATCATACTAAAGCACACGATTTTTAAAAAGTAAAAATGTTTTTTTTTTCGAATCATCTAAAACATGTTTTTTTGTTCATTTTAATGCAAAATTGTTGAATATTTACCATTTCACACGTGTGTACATTTTTGCTAGCTTTTGTAAAATTTTCAGCTTCTCTGAAATGTCTTGGCCAATTTTAGTCGTTTCCGAATTTACCATTTATGAATAAAAAAAAATTGTATGTCCTTGATCTCAGCTCTAATAGGGAACGACTGACGGGGCCAAGAAATGCATGTTTCAGAAATCTAAAACTGAGAAATTCATTGTCAGGATTCACGTAAAATGGTGCATTATCAATCAGCAGGAAAACTGTTTACTCGATAATATGGAGAAGTAATACTCGTCTGTGTGCAATACAAGCAACGTCATTACCGTCTCCGAAGACGGTATACTGAGATGAAGTATTTGTAAGTCTCCGGAGTTTACACTTCCCCTCTTGTGATTATTAGAAATTGTATGACGAGAAAATTTTATTTGGTTGAAATGCGAGATAATCTTCTTATCATTTAATTTCCGTACGACTTACCAATTTTTCAAGATTTTCTATCGTAAAAAGTATCAAAACGAACAGTGGATATTGCCAGAAATCAATCCTAAATTACTGTAACATGCAATGGAGCGTAGTTTATAGCAATTACTTAAAAATGTTCCAATATATTTTTTTTACAAACGGAATGGATCTTGATCATGCAAACTTTCTACCCTGTATGTATTCTTTTCCCCATTTGTTTTGCACTGTCTTTCAAATCTCGAAAGCACTCAGCCATGTAATACGCCCTCTGGTGAGAGATTGTCGGCAACGGAATCAGCCGAAGTTTGCGAAATGATCTCAGCAGCAGAGTTTACAGAGAGAGACCAACCTTTAGTTAACCTTTCACTTGATAGAGTGATGTCATGATTGATTATATGTTGTTTAACGTCCCTCTCGAGAAATTTTCACTGATATGGAGACGTCACCACTTGCTGGTGGAAGGCTACAAATTTTATCCAACACTCGGCACTCAGGGCCATTGAGAAGTGAGGGATCTTTTTCGTGCCGGTATATACTGCGACACGGGACCTCGGTTTATACGGTCTCATCCTAAGACCGGCTGATGTCATGAACAAGCTTAAGAAGAAATACAAAGCCAAAATTTCCAAGAATAGTACGGCCTGACAGATTGTTGCTAAAGACGGTAAATTTTTTGAAAAAAAAGTACTTTTTCTTAAAAGTTCTTGACCTGTTGACATGTGGCTGCAATAATGCAGCCCTCTCCGATTTTTTTTTTAATCTGATGTTTTTTCTGGAGAGGGCTACAATGCCACAGCATCTCCGTAATGGTGCAAATATATATTTTAAATACGGCAGGCAAAATAAATAGTTTTTTACATTCAACTTACGTCTAATAAGACAAAATCTTTATTCACTATCAACAACATAGCCCGTTATTAAACACGAAAACCATGTAGAATAAATCTGCGTGTTTACCAATCGTTCTACTCAGCAGCCATGACAGTTCACGCGTGACGTACTAAGACTTGGGCTTGAATTTTAGAATAACTAAAGCAAATGTCGATATATTTGTGATAAATAGTATCGCTAAACATCGATAAATAAAACCATTCCATGTGATATTTTTTCGTAGACAGCGATATTTAGGCTTACTTTCATATTTCACATATGTATTCTTTGTGGCAAGACCTCTCATTGGATACCAACAACTTTGACCTTTTGACCTTGAGATTTCCGTACTTATGAAAAAACTTTAATCTCGGCCATAACTTTTGAATGGTAAGGGCTAGGGCTTTCCTACTTTACATATGTAATCATTGTGAGGAGATTTTTCATTGGATACCAAGAACTTTGACCTTGACCTTGAGGTTTGACCTACTTTTTAAAAACTTTAACCTTGGTCATAACTTTTGAACGGTTCAGGCAAGGGCTTTCATACTTCACGTATGTAATACTTGTGGCAAGACTTTTCTTAAGAAGCAACCAATATATACAATCTATTTTGTCATACGGGGTCATCAGGTTCACTTCCTTATAACTTTTGATTGAGAAGAGAAAGGGCTTTCATATCTGACCTGTGCATTACCTTTGACAAGATTTGACATAATATGTCATAAAAAATGACATCCCACTCACAAAGACACCGAAAGCGGGGGACCACAATTCTTTGAATTTGCTTGTTATGTTTTACATTTAAATTTTGAAATAATTTTTTTATTGCATTTTACATGTATATATGCAGTGACTCAAGTTTTGTAACGTATACACTAGACAAAATTGCTAACGCACCACAATTCTTTTTTGTGAATTGAATATTTGCCTCATCGGTATTAGTATATATAATACGCCATCTTTTCCAATACAATGCGATTGATAAATGTCTGTGTTATGAAAAAAAGACTTCTCGCCCGAAAAACAATTTCCCGACAAGTATTGTGCACCTTTGTATGCCTAGATATGTAGTTGCTAATTACCGATGATGGTTCTTGGGGTTACTTCAGAAGCATTCTCTCTGATAAAAATCAAATAATAAGCAGCGATTGACTATTACATCACCTGCTAGTCATCCAGGGCCTTGGTGTCCATACCCAGTCCTCCCAACTTCCGGTTGCTCCAGTTTTGTGAAACAACATTGAAATTGTGGTGTGGTGTTTACTTAATGGATTTGCTACATGTATCTATTTTAAACATTTTATCTTAATTAATCTATTCCCAACAATTTTTCACAAGAAGAATAAATATTTTTTTTTCATTGTTTTAATTTTTTACAAATCTTTCCAAAGGAACCCCCTGCAGACACCATACTAACTGTTTTAGCACGCTATTCTAGGATCAAAAGCCGCATACGGTGTAATTTTTTCCTGATTTTTTAATTAGTACAAACACAAAGAACAAAAAAGCAAAGAAAAAATTGAAATGTATCCCTCCAAAAAATTATGGACACGATTTTTATTTTTTCTTTGAAATGGTCATGCTTTAGTTAACATTGTAGTTATTTATCAATTAAGACATTTAAATGCTTCATTTTTTGCTTAAGTAATTCGTGAAAACATATCAAATACATCATAAACAAGTTTTGAAAAGTAAAATATTACTTTCATTTGGTGGTGCGTTGGCAATTTTGTCTAGTGTAATAGTAATAATACCCATGCGACAAAATAATTTTCTTACTGATAAGTTGAAAGGACAGTATAACTCTGCTCCGTACTATCTCTAGTAACTTTATAAGATAGCGGTCAGATATCGTCAGTCAAGATCACACCCGACACTTTGTAGCGGAGGTAAATAATAGGACATGGAGGGTTTACCTCAGCCGATCCGTGACCCCCAGATTATCCACAAAAAGGTAAGCAGAGTCACAATCATCGGTAAAATTGTTACAATAATTCGGGAGGTTTAATATATTTTCATGTA